CCGCCTCCCATGATTTACGCACGTCCACAGCGGGATTGGAACGCCGGCGCCCGATGCCCGGCTGAAAAGTTGCGATGCGCGCGCAGGATCCGGGGTCGACGCTTGTCGACAGAGCAAACAGTCCAATGCATAACAGGGGTGACGTCCTGAGGTGCACGCGGTGGGTTCCAGACAAGCAAAACGAATTACATCGTGTTTGGATGTCGCACCGGGCGCCGACGTGAAGTATTGAGTGCCAGAGTTCCCCTTGATATTGAAGTTGGCAAGTCGGCGGCGCCCAGCGCATGCCAGGCATCGAACTGCAGGATTCACGCGCGGGGTTACCATGATATGAACTACCGACGGGATGAATTGCGCTGGTGCTCGCAATCGGCGCCAACGCCGTAATTGTTGACAGCCGAATCCTCTTCCGAAAGCGCCACTCCCCACCATCGACGTTCGACGACAATGCGCCTCGCACATTAGAGTTCTCTACGTAGGTGGCGGTGCACACCTGGGCGAAGGACGGAGAAACCGTCGCATCGATTTGGGAACGACACTTGGTGCATGGAAGCGATGAACACCAGTGCACATCGGCCGATAAGTCCGATTTCTATTGCATGCTCTTGTCCATTGGCACGCCCGGGCTAGCTTGCGCGAGCTGACGAGAGCGTTTGGTCTGTTGGCAAGCTTATCGTCGCGCCGAGTGTCACACGTGAGCAAGCAGTTGGTTCTTTGGGTTGCGTGCGCTGGCTTATGCCATGGTGGGCGGTCCTGTATACTCCCTGCGGAGCAGATTCGGGCAGGCGTTGTTCGGCTTGGGTTTGCGTTGGATGATGTGCTACATCATTGGCGCGTCACGGGGTCCTCTACGGAGCTTCGTACGGCGCCCATTGGAGTCGTCCGAGGCCGCACCGAAGGATTGTCTGAGAAGCTTCTGGGCCCATCAGGCGAGCACTCTGATTGGTGTCAGCATGCGAAGCTGTAGCGCACGGGAAGCAGAAGTTGCTTATATTTCTTCTCCTCTGAAGGGAGGGGCCATCCGCCAACTAGATTGGAGAGCATGTTGTGCTCTGTGGGTGGAGTCCGGGAACTTCGCTGAGCCATCATGTCAACGGCACCGTAACGGGTACTTACTAACGGGTACTTTGAATTTTTGCTGAAAGTTGCCATTTTAGGGCCTTTTTCTTGCATTGCAGCTTTGCCCACATCGGGAAGGGTTGGGTTCGCTGGGTCACTGGCCAAAGTACCCGTTAGTGGAGTCCCCGTTTGAGGGGCGCTGATCATGGGCCAAACAGTGTGAGGCAGACCCATCCTGAGATAACCTGGAAGAGGCATCGGCTGGTTTGTCGGGCAGTCCTGGGGCCAGCACCGACCTGCTCTGGCTCCGTCCAGGGCGGCTCTGAGCCAGGAGTGGGGCCGTCTTGGGTCGCTGTGTGGCCCCTGTTGGGCAGCGACCGGCCCGGCCGCCCCATGGCCTTACGCGGCGGGTCAGCGGTCGGCCCAGCAGCTGCCGCCTGGGCAGTCGAGAGGAGGGCGGGGAGAAGAGGAGGCGGAGCAGCAGCCGGGGCAGCAGGAGGAGGAGGAGAAGCAGTGGAAGGACAGTGTCAGAAAAGCAGTGATGGGATTGGGGGGATAGGGTTGGGAGGAATGATCTGATCATCTAGGTGTTCGCGTACGTTGAATATGCTTATTGCACAGTCGTGACGTGAATCTTCCCAACCCCTTCCCCCCAACACGATAACTGTCTTCCTCACAAGGGGGAGGGGGGGGGGGGGGGCGAGGGGAGGAGGAGGAGGAGGAGGAAAAGGAGGGACAGGAGGAAGCAGAGAACGGGGACCAAGTTTGCCGCGCCTGCTGGCCCATCGTCTAGGGCAGGCGGCACCGAGTGGCTCGCTTTCTGGAAGACGGTCCTCGCGCGCTTCCAGGATTTGATTGGGCCGCCATCGGGTCTGACACAGAGGATAAGAAGCTCAGGAGGCACAAGTTCGGGGCCATCATCCAGTCCATGGTTCTCTCGGCAGCCCCCTGCGTGGCACCCCTGGAGGAACAGGAGGACTACACGGTGCTCCGCGTAGGTGTCAGCAACATCCTGGACCTGGACCTCGAAGGGGTTCGAACTAATGCTGGGCTTTGCAAGCGTCCTCAGGATCGGGCTGACCAAGTGGCCTACCGCGAAAAGCAGAAGGGCTTCCAGCAGCGGCTCCAAGACAGTTTCAAAGGGGGGGCCAAGTGAACCCATCACCATACCAGGACTTGGGGCTTACCAGAACCCTCCCCGAAGATCGGAGTCGACACCGCACGGGCCCCCCTCTGGGACACCAGTGAACCCCTTGAGGTGAAAGCGCGAAGGTGGAGCTCACTTTGGACCGACCTCACGGACAGGGATACGGCATCGAGCAGGACTGGTGGCGCACCCTCAGGCAGGAAGCCTTCGAGTCTATAGTGACCCTGCCGCCGATTGACCCCGGCAGTTGCTCGCCGCATGCCGTTGTCCAGCATGGGCGCATGCCAGTGGCACCCCCCAGCCGTGGGAAGATCTGCCCCCAGGAGGCCATCGGGCCCGCCTGGACCTTCTCGCGTGCACCGAGGCCGAGAATAGGTGGCCAGCCCATGTGTTGTGCAATGCGGTGGGCTTACATCATGAGCCCACAGGAGAATCAGGAGAGGAAAAAACACACAGACACAATCAATCCTCGATTCCCCAGAAAATATGGGAAAATATGGGAAGTGGGGGGGAAGAGAGAAACCCAGAAAATATGTGAACACGTGGGGCATATTTTTGTTTGTGTGTATTGATTTGTGTGTCCTGGGGCCCCTTCAGAGAAGGCGACCGAACGATCACCCAATTCCAGAGCCTGCATCGAGTTTGGAGCCAACTTCGGAAAGGTCCAGTGCCTCAGTGGGGGGAAAGACCCGAGCGGGCTTCTGGTGCGCTGCGGCGGGAGGGTGGAGTCTCCTGCGCGCTGCCCCGCCTCGCCCTGCCCGTGCAGGAACTGCTTCGAGGATCGACTGCGACTGGGCCCCCGAGTGCGCTTCGATGCCGAACAGTTCCTCCTCCTCCTCCTCCTCCTCCTCCTCCTCCTCCTCCTCCTCCTCGTCCTCCTCTCGGCGCGACACGCCATCCACGTCCGCACTTCCGAGCGCCAGCGTCCCGAGTGTTTCCCAGCAAGGCGCCCCGCGGCGCGGAGCCGCACACAAGCCGCCTGCAAGGCATAGGGTGTCGCCAGGGCCGCAGCTCGACTACCCTGCTGGTATCATGTACCTCAGCGTGGCCATGCACACCGCAGACGGAGTTTCAAGCGTGGGCACTGAGGCGTCAAACTCTATCCGCGTGGACCGCTCTATGCTGCAGCGCTGTCTCCAGTCAGTTGCTTGGACTAGGGCCTACCTATGCGAAATACCGCCCCATGGAGCTCAGCACCTGGGTAGACGACATCAGAAAGAGCGCGTTCTGCGGTCGCTTGGAGGGGGGGGGTGTTGAACTGGACCCCCCCCCAGGTGGATGGAGGGGGGGGGTCGAACCACCCTCTCTCTCCTACTTCTCCTCTCTCCCTCTCCTCGGCTGGCGGCGGCGGCGGGGACGACGATTTCCTTTTCTGGGCCGGCGCCGGCGCTTGCGGCGGCGGGCGGCGGCGGAGGGGAGCGTCGACGAGGACGACGGTGGTGGTGGTGGTGGTGGTGGGTTGTGGTGGTGGTGGTGGCAGTGGGGGTGGTTGTGGGGATGGTGGTGTTGTGGTTTGTTGTTGTGGTAGTGGTGGTGGTGGTGGTGGTGCTGGTTGTGGTGGTGGTGGGTGGCGGTGGTGGTGGTGTGGTGATTTGTGGTGGTTTGTGGTGGTGGTGGTGGTGGTGGTGGTGGTGGTGGTGGTGGTGGTGGTGGTGGTGGGTTGTTGGTGGTGGTGTGGTGGTGGTGGTGGTTTGTGGTGGTGGTTTGTGGTGGTGGTGGTGGTGGTTGGTGGTGGTGGGGTGTGGTGGTGGCGGTGGTTTGTGGGGGTGCTGGTGTGGTGGTGGTGGTGGCGGTGGTTGGTGGTGGTGGTGGTGTGGTGGTGGTGGTGGGGTGGTTGTGGCGGTGGTGGGTGGCGTGGTAGATTGTGGTGGTGGTGGTGGTGGTGGTGGTGGTGGTGGTGGTGGGGTTTTGGTGGTGGTGGTGGTGATGGTGAGTTGTGGTGGTGGTTGTGGTTGTGGTGGTGGCTGTGTTGGCGGTGGTGGCGGTTGTGTGGTGGGTTGGTGGTGGTGGGTTGAGGAGGTGATGGTGAGGGTAGTGGTGGTGGTGGTGGTAGTGGTGGTTATCGTCGCTGCGTCCCCGCCGTCGCCGGCGCCAGCGCCAGCGCTGCCGGCCGCCGCCAGCGCCGGCGCCCGCGCCAGGGGGAGGGGGGGTTGAACCCCTCCCCCCTCAGAGCAAGGGGGGGAGGGCGGGGGTTGAACCCCCCCCCTTTTGGGCTGCCTCTGGTCATCGTCGCTGCGTCCCCGCCGTCGGCGCTGCTGGCAGCCGCCGCCGGCGCCGGCGCCGCGGGGGGGGGGAGGGGTTTGAACCCCCCGCGTTGTGCTTATGGAACTGTTACCCTGGCTGGAGACCCCTTCCTCCACACCTTTGCTCTCTCCCCTTCCCCGCCCCCCCCTTTCCTCGGACTCGGCGCAGAACGGGCCCCCCGATCCCTCCAGGGCTGAAGGGACCCCTCCTGGCCAGCCCCCTTTCCCCCCCGGGGTACGCGCTGCCCCCCGCCCCCCTCCCTCCCCTGGGAGACCGGCACATCGCGAGAGGGGAAGAGGAAGAAGAGGAGAAAGGACAGAGGAGGACAAGGAGGATCGTGAGGGCAAGGGGAAGGAGGAGGACGGGGAGGCTTATTAGGTTAGCCCCCCCCGCACATGCTGCCCGCACCCCGTGAGGATAAGGAGGAGGGAGAAAGAGGAGGAGGAGGAGAAGAAGAAGGAGGAGGAGGAGGAGGAAAAGGAGGAGGAGGAGGAGCAGAGGAGGAGGAGAAGGAGGATATAACGTTGGAGGTCCGCGTTTCGGCCCCCAG